AAAAAGCGTTAGGAAAGTAAGCAATCAAACAAAGAAAAGGAATGAGTGTTTTTGATGATTTTTTAAACAATTTAAAATGGAAAAAATTCAATAATAAAAAGTGGTAAGGCTTTGAGAATCCTCCGTATGCTTTGTTCACCTATTTGGATTTTGATTCATAAATTGACTCAATTGAAAGTTTCACATCCCAAACAATCAATCGGAAAATAAATATTTGAAGAACATATGAATTAAAAATGTATTCGAGTAAATAAAATTCTAACGTTTAGAATTAGGAAAAATTATCTTATGAGAAATCCAAGAGCGACAATATACCGTTGGCAATAATGCAGTAAAAGACTACTCATAAAATAATACCGATCAATATATCATATAATGCAACAATCACATAAAAAGAGCTTGACTAGATTTATATGAGAGTTGACAATAAAATATATTGATAAGAAGAAGAAATATGATAAAAGAAAATTATTTACTCAAATGTATAAAACTTACAAACCATTGGAGAATCAAAAATCCAAATAAGTTCACTACACATATAAGATCATCTCTAGCCTCACCTAATTACTCTAGCCTAGCTTGCACATAATTCTCATAAAATTCTAAAAAGAAAGTATGAGAATAAGAACAAGAAAATAAGAGAAAATGTGTGAGAATTTAGATTCTAAAAATTCATCCTTTTATCACTTAGATAATGATCCTATTTATAGAGTTTGAATATGCTAAGAATATACAAATCGGATGCTCAATCGAGGGAGAAAAACATCATGTTTCTGAAGAGTGGGACACGTGTCGCAACTTGATTCGCGCGCAGGAGAGACGTGGTACACAGCTGGACCACGCTGGAAGAGAACTGGACGCGCGCGGGAGAGAAACTCGCGCGGAGAGGGAAAGTGCGCGCAAAACGCGCGTACGCGGGGGGCAGCTGGACACGTGGCGAGACCTGGCTAGAGGGGCGCTGGCACGCGGGACCCACGCGGAAGAGAGAGGGAGTCTGGGTGACGCACGCGTGAGGAGAACTCGCGCGGAGGAAGCAGCGTGCGAGCCAAGTGCGCGTACGCAAACTTTTGGGTTTTACTTGGTAAACTAGCCCAAATTCAATTTGTTTTCTTCAAAAACCTGAAAAATAAAATAAATCTAATTAAAATTAAATCCTCTAAATTTAGGAATATTTGAAATTAAAATCACAAATTTGATAAAATAATTTGACAATTATGAACATTAAAAGTGCAAATTCGTGCATTTATCAAGTCTCAACCTCAAATTAAAACTCAAGTTTAAACTTAAATTCAAACTCAAATTTTACAAAAAATATGAATTTAAATAAAATTATAACTTAAATTTAATTTTTTTAAAATTTTAATCCAAAAATACAAATTCTTAATTTTTTAATAGAATTTTACCCGCACCAAGCGCGGGTAAAAAAATTAGTGAGTATATAAAAAAAGAGAATAAACAAGTAGGTGTCAAATTGATGCTTGCTTATTCTTGACTTTTGTGCCTTTTTGATTTTTTTTTTTTTACTTTCTTTGTTACGTGAGAGTGAGTTATTTGGAGGTTGTTCTTTTACAACAAAACTCAGAACAAATTTAAACTCAAGTTACAACTTTATTTAAATTTACGTTCTTTTAAGTTTCAACTTTATTCAACTTTACTCAACTTTATTCAAGTTACAACTTCAACTCAAGTTATAACTCAAATTCAACTCAAAAACTACACTCATGTTACACTCCAAAAGAACAACTCCTTGATTTTCACGCTTTGTTGTTGTTTTTTTTTAAGTTATTTTTTCTCTCACTACGTTTTACATGGCATGTGTAAAATTGGGCAATTGTTTAAGCTTTTGAGTTTTTTTCTTTAGCAAAATAATAAAACTCATCATATTTGTGCATTTGGTAGGTAAATTTGTATTATAATTTGTGGCTCGTTATAATTTTTTTCTCATAATAAATACACGTAAATTAAAATAATTTTAAATCTATAAACTAAACGTTTGTAAATAACAAAACTGCCATATTCCTCTATTTGCATGTCACTATTTGTGAAAAACAATAATATTATGTAGGAAGTTAAACGTATACTACGGAATAGTTGCCTTTTTTTTTTCTTTTGGGCGTTTATAAGCTCTTTTTGTTATTGTTCTTACAATTCATAGTGTGGTTAATTTGTTTATGTTTTCAGACTTTTTACAATTATTGATTTCATTTTTCTTTCGATACATGTTATACTGCATCACTTAATTGAAAGGTTAAATGGTTGAATAAGGAAAGAAAATAGTATGTTTTGGAAGAAAAAAAAAATATTAGGGAAGTTCCATTTGAAGCAAATTGAAAAGAATTTTTTTTTTTTTAAACTGAAAAGAGAAAGCTAAAAACAAATAAATGGCCGAAGTGGATATATTTATAAAAACAAATAAAGAATAGCTGAAAGAAAGTATTCTCATGATTTTTAAATTTATAAAAACAAAATATACTTGATATATTTAGGGAAATTAGTCTGGATGGTCTTTTTTAACCATCTATTTTTATAAATAGCTGAACTTTTTTTATTTTACAAAAATGATCGTTATGTTTACATGAGTCAATTAGTGATTGACTTATGAACCACAGTCTATTAGTGATTGACTCACGGTCAATAAGTGATTGATTCATTCATTATTAATTTATTAATAATTTATCATTAATAAACATGTAATTTGTTGATTAAAATTGATAAATTACAACTTAATTTTAGTTAATTATTAACTAATGTTGATTAATAATAAAGAATAATCAAGTTACCACTGAATTAATAAAAAGGTCAATTTTTACAATTTTATAAAATTTTAGCCATTTATAAAAAACATCCTTAAAAATGTTATAAAATAATAGTAAAATTATAAAACAAAAAAAAAAAAAAAAAAAAAAACCAGAGAACAAGAGATAAGACATAGGAGAATTGAGAGACAAAATAACTCTAATCTTTTATTCACTTGTGTGGAGTAATCCAAACATGCTCATATCATCTCCATTTATAGGCTAAGAGCCATAAGTAAAGGTAAGGGTAAAGGACATGAGTTACATAAGCTACATATACATTAAGATAAGTATTATGGAGAACAACATTAATGGAAGAATTATGAAGGATATAATCAGATCTAAATGAGAGGTTATGGAATATGAAGTGGTGGCATCCACACTAATTGTTTCACGACACTTCATTTTAGATGTCCACCTACCAAAGAATATGCCTCGTTAAAAACCTTAATTGGAAAAACCTTGTGGGAAAAAAAAAAACCAAGTGAAGAAAAAGAATACATTATTCTTGTAAGATTTACGTTTAGAACTCCCTCATTAAAAACCTTGCTAGAAAAAAACTTAATGGGGCAAAACCTATGCTAAGGGAAAAAGAGTACAGTACACAATAGCCTCCCCCCTCATATCAACATGTCTTCTTCAACAACAATAAAGATCTCTGAGTCGACGCGTATTGATCTTGTGCATCAATTTCTCAAATGTAGCTGTAGAAAGTGCCTCAATTAACAAATCTGCCAAGTTGTCACTAAAATAAATTTGATGGACGTCTAGTTCTCGTCTTCTGGAGTTTATACGCGAATATGAACTTCGGTGAAATGCGCTTCGTTATGCTCCTTAACTCAGGCTAAACAGATTGCATCTCTTCGTCGAACGCCATTGGAATTCTTTTGACGAATGAAAGAAAAAGAACACATGTTTATCAAATAAGTTGGATTAGATATCTCAATCATACTCAGTACCCTCTAACCTTATGAATTGTAAATATTTCAACATGATTCAAAATATGACAGACAAAAATTTACTTTGTAGAAGGCCATGTTATAACAATGCCACCATATGCAAACAAGTAACTTGTTGGTAACCAACCAAATTTGACTTTAAGTCGTGCCCAAAACATATTTTTATCTGGTGTTCATGAATATGACCAAATACTTATTTAACACCACTGTCATATCAGGTCTTGTAACAAAATAACACTCAAGATATAATACTTCCAAACCCAAAACTTCTTACATTATTATCTCGAGATCGAAAACAATCATCTTTCATTTCAAATGATCAAACAACCATAAGAAGATTCATTGGAGGTATTAAGAATGTGAACATCCACAGTAATAAGTCTTATTTGTAAATCTCTTCCTTGAATGTTCAACAATTAAGAATATGCCTCATTAAAACCTTACTAGGCAAAAACCCAGTGTGACAAAAATTCTAGTGAAGAAAAGAGTACAATATTCTCATTCTTATAATACACTACTAAAATTGTCTCATTAAAAACCTCGTCAGAAAAACCCAGTGGGACAAAATTATGACTAAGAGAAAAAGAGTGCAGTGCATATTTACCGCCTCATATAAATATCTATGATTATTCTAATAGCCAGCAATTTTATTTTTAAATAATTAAGTCGACACATATTTTTTTGTAACTCAAGAAACTTTACAGTCGACTATCATAGTCCTTGAGTACGTTAGCACTTTACTAATATTTACAATATTGCTCTTCATGAGTTTATTTGAATGATAAATTGACTATTTTTGATGGGTACATCAAACAAACCACTACCCATAGTAAAACAAAAATATTGTAAGGAACATAAGAAAACAAGAGATAAGGCATAGGAGAATTGAGAGACAAAATAACTTTCTAATCTTTTATTCACTTGTGTAGAGTAATCCAAACATGCACATATCATCTCTTTTAATAGGCTAAAAACCATAAGTAGAGGTAAGGATAAAGAACATGAGTTATATGAGTTACATATACATTAATTACGTAAAATTAATGTATACATTACACAATATTAAGGGAAGAATTATGAAGGAGATAATGGGATCTAAATGAGAGGTTATGAAATATGAAGTGGTGACATCCACCCACCCTAATTGTTTCAAAAAAAAAAAAAAAAGAAGGTTATTTGTGCTGAAATCCCTTCTTTTTTAACTGTAACATTTAAAATAAAATGGTTTGGTATCAATACTTGGTGTTACGTGCACCAAAGTTCTTATCTTTTTATCTAAATACCTGCATTAAGAACAACGTTACCATCTTCTAAGAAGTTTTCAATAACGGGTGTTAAATATCTAGATACAGTATTCCATTCGCAAACTTGCTTAAATGCATTTCGATTCTGCGGGTCAGCACACCTCAAAAACCTCAGCAAATCTTTCAAATTATCTGCTATTAAAAATTTAAAAACGTTGATCATACCATAATCAAACCATTACCGCATAGAAATATAGGGTAATATAGCACAGTAATCCTTATAAACAGATTAATCGATAGACGATAAACCGAGTTTAATTTAATTTCACTTCAGAAGACACAATAACACTAATAAAAAAAATCTCAAACGCCAGAGTTGAATTTGCTATGAGATAAATTAAGCGATGACAATCAAGAAAACTCTCTACTCAACCCACTGTTTTCTCAGCGACCAGACAGAATCCTAACGTTCGTGAAACGGAAAAACAAAATATGGAAATGAAGTAAAATCATTCGCTTTATTTTGCTTGTTCCAACAATTTCATCGCGAAGCCGAGAGGAAACTATAGAGAGAGGTGACAAATGTACCTAAGCAATACTCTTCCTTTAAGTACCCGATCGCATTGCCATCTCTATCCTCTTCGGCCTCGGACGTAGATCGCCAATGAGACCCCCATGTCCATCTTACTGCGGTATTAGGGTTGAAGAAATTGGGGATTTTGCAAAACCTGAGAAATCCCGAAAGCGATACAAATCCAATCTCTGTGAGGAAGAAGAAGAAGAGCACGGGCCGTAATGTGGGGCTGTGCGTACTTGGGCTTTTTGGCAGCCCAATTCATTAGAATTGGATTGTTAAATTTATAGATTTGAGTTTTTAATTTAAATTGAGATATAATTTTATATGAGAGTTTTTATCTGTAGTAAAAAAATTAAATATGATTTTTTTTAAAAAACTTTTAACTATAGTAAAATTAGAATTGAAAATTCAAATTGGTAAAATGAACAAAGTCTAAAAATTTCTAAAAAATAATCACATTTAACTTTTTATTACAATAAAAAATTTTCATATAAGATCACCTTTCACTCAAATTAAAATTTTAAATTAACAAATTAAATGCCCATAAAATTACATTTTCCCGCGCGTTTTGAGGCCGAGTTCATACTCTGGTACAGCACGGTATACCCTGATTCCAAGTAACCACTACGTGGCAATAGATAATTAATTTGGAGTTTTTTCAACTATAAAAAGTAGACGTTGGGGCTTCGGGGCTTAGCTCAGCCCAATTTTGATATTTTCCGCCCAACAACCCTAAAGTGTGAGACTTTTTTACTTTTTTTTCTTTTGAAAAAAAATTCTTAGCTTTTACCTCTTACTCTCGATAAATACTCTTTAATTAGTATAATTATTTAACTAAAAAGATTATTAGGGTATGTTCATTTGGGCTATCCAATTGGAGTTGGCCCAACTTATAGATATTTTTGGGTGTAATATTACGTTCGGTAACCCAACTTCGAATCAAGAACTCGAGTGTGAATTCGGGTTATGAAACATCACCTGCCCCTTGAATTTCAATTACTCAAGTCTGTCCGCTACAATGTAGATTCTCTGCAGAAGCACGTTTTCACACAGGCGTGGGTTACCGTTGCCTGGATCAAATTCGGCGAATTTTTGGCCTGCGTTGTCGCAACCCATCCCCATTCACCACCGTGGAAACCAAGACCAGCCGACCCTAAACCCTAAACCCTAAAAGAGAAGCCAAAAATTTCTGAGTTTTTTCTTTTATTATTATTTTTTTCTTGAACAAGAGAAAAGACCAGGGAATTCGAGGAAGAGAGAAGAGAGATATCAAGGAGGGGGAGAGAGCAGTGTGGGGGTTGTCGGTGTTATTACTATTATTATTACTATTATTATTATTATTATTATTGGAGTTATGTTTTTATTAAAGTGAACACAAAATTCAAGTTCAACATTCACAAACTATCCAAGTGAACACACAACTTAAATTTCAAATACAATTCTAATTAAACTCACTTTTTTAACTCTAATCTTGAATTTTAAATCGCTGAAACGAATGCCCCCTTAATTGTTGATACTTGAATTCATACTAAGCCTATTATGGATACATGCCCAATCCTTTGCGTCTTGCGACACAATTGGGCTCATTTTGTGGATTCAAGTCACGCTTGGGAACTCTTGTGGGTTGTGGTTTGGTGAGTCATGAGTGATGGAGGATTCAACCCAAGAAAGCTTTTCCTTTGTATTTGGAAGCCCAAATTCCTTTATTGCATCCCTTAAAAGGCCTAAAACTCAAGTCTGATCCTTTAGAAATTGTCTCCAACTCACAGGCTTGAGAAATCCATTAGTTTTGGCTTATTTGGATGCTTTTCTGGCGACCAGACATGCCTCTCGGAGCACTCCCCGTGTCAAGCATGCTTTCCTAGCTATTCTCCGTATCAAGTTGTCCATTCGGAGCACTCATGCGCATTCGGAGCAACTTGAGCAATCTGTTGTCAGAGCAAGTACAATGGCTGCTTGTTCATTCTCGTACAAACAATCTCTGACAAAGGATTGACACGTGATTAGACCCCCAAAAAAGGAAAGTCTTCAGAGCACTTGGTTGAGTCAAACACTTTTGGAGATTTCAGGTCTAAAGTCATTTCGTATTAGCCCAAAATTCATAACTTGGCCTCCAAGTATTTCCACTTCTAAGGTGTCATTTTGCCTCCTCCGATAAGGTATATGGGATTTTGCTCCAAACGAAATTACATGTGCCTTACTTCATCAGAATGCCATCGGAGCAAATTTCTAGAAACTTTTCATCCCATTTTTAGTGAATCTCTTTGTCAACATCAGAAAGCTATCTGACACCTTTCTTTCGAATGAGAAACCCTAAAGGGAAACGAATGACGACGCGTCATGATCATATTGGATTGAGAACATTCATCTAATTATGAAAAATGTCGTATAAATAGAAAATGACGAGAACGAGAAAGGGGCCGATCCCTAGAGATTCGGAAAGGGAGAGAGATATTCTTATATTCCTCTATCCCTTCTGTGTCTTTTCCTTTCATTCCATATCCTTTGGATATTCTTTTGACTTGAGCATCAGAGTGTTTTTTGGAGGACAACTCCCGACGCCCACTAACGAATGAGTGAGCGTAAGACGACGGAAAAAGAGGAGTCTGACTACCAAAAGTTGATGTTTGAAAAACCATACAAACAAATAGTATAATTACCAACAATAAAAATAAATAGCATATTTTATAATTTTAATATGTTGTATTCTAATTTTACCCTTTATGTTCCAATTTCATATTACGTTATTTCCTCCTTCTCCCCATTATAATGGTGGGTTTATTATCATCCCTACTTTTTTAACACTCTTCCTTGAATGACTCACCAATTAAATTTTAAATTTTGATTATTATTTGTTGCATCCCTTTTAGTATTCTAAAAATATTGTTATTTGTATATTTTCTCTCTTTTCCAACCCACCATTTTTTTTTTAAACTCCAAGCCACCAATCAAACAGTAGCTCGTCTTTAATTTGATAATTGTTTTCTTTTGTTTCGATTTTTTTTTTTCCAAGATTCTTCCGTCATATATATGTATGTGCGACCTTTTCTATTTTTTTTTTTCAATTGACATTTTTTTTTCTTGGAAAGTAACTAGTTATAATCTTGCTTTCAAATTCAATGTACCGGTTAAAACAAATAAACTTTCTCAATCTTTCAACGTCATATAATTACTATTAGCTTTGTTAATATAATACAAATATTCGTGCAAGATAGTTTTATTTATTTATTTACAAACCCTACCTACCTAGAAAGGTAAAGTACAAGAAACAACGAAATAGCGTAGGAAGCTATGTAAATTTAGGATTTTTTTACGATGTTTAATTAAAAATTTGAATTAAAAAGTAAATTTATATGAGTAAAAATTGTAATAAAAAAATAAAATTTAAATTTTTATAAATGAAAGCACTGAAACAAAATACTTAAATTATAATTCAAACTGTGAAAATAACTAATTTTTAATTATTCTAATCAACAACCCAGTTTTAAGGTTTGCCGCCTCATTTCACTCGAGTCGAGTAGGGAGAACTCATAAAATAATGTCATGACCAAGGACGGAAGCTTGGGATTGGTGGGGCTCCAGCCCCGTCTGACTCGAAGTGATCGCATTATATTTTTTAAAACTTTAAAGTTTTAATCCTATTTTATTCTCACCTTTTGTTTTATTTTACCCCTAACTTCTATATAATTGACATTTTATGCAAATGTCCTTAAAAATTTCATTCACAAGAGTTTTTACTTTCACTTATATTTTATTGTTTAAATTTTTTGCATGTAGCCATTATAATTTCAAATATAAAAACTAAAATAAACAAAATATCATTCAGCTTATATACGTGAAGAAAGAAACGAAAGTGAAGAAATCAAGAGATTGTGCTATGACAATCTTCCAATGCTTTTGGTTCCGAATGGAGAAAAAGGAAGCCGTAAATGGGATGTTTACGATATATTAGCTAACAAATTCATCGCTATGGTAGAGCTTCCTTCGTATGGTAAGACGATTTTGTGGCTCTTTAAAAGGGTGGTTAGTAATTGTTGATAAGAAATCTGTGGTGACACTTTACAAACCCTTTATAGTTAGGGAAGGAAAGATTGACGTTTTTATCGAACTACCTCCATTGTTTCCTCTAGAAAGAGATTTTTGTTTCGATATATCCATTGAAAAACATATCTTTAAGGTAATTACGACCTCGTTTATTTTACCGATTTAAGTTTAAAATTTGAGTTTTACTATATTAAAAAACTCTCAGAAACAGTCACATCTAACTTTTTTACTATAATAAAAAACTCTCACATAAAGTCACATCTCAACTCGAATCAGCGAACTAAACGGACCCTACATTTACACCCGACCCTATAAAAAAACCAAAAGATCTAATTTGTGTGGTCATCTTGGGACCATTTTGGGAATTAGCGTACATTAGACCCGCAAGAGACAACAAATGGACACGTGTTGCCGGTATGAAGTTGTTTGATGATGTTGTATACTACAACGATCAATTTTACGCTCAAACTTGGCGGGCTAATGAGCTTGCATCTTTTATGCTATGTTTGGTAGGAAATAAAGAAAATATGATAGAAAGTAAATATATAAGTGATGAAAAATAGTAATGATAGAAAGGAAATTGATTTTTTTTTTATGTTATTTGGTATGAGAAGATGAAAAAAAAATGAGCTTACCTTCACTTGTTTGGTATTGAAAGTTAAATTGGAAGGAAAGAAAAAATATTACTTATAAATTACTTTTATACCCTTAAATTTTTTACTTGGATGTTGATGAAGAAAAATGTAGTTTAGTAACTTTGTTCACTTTAATGAGTTGTTCTCATTTTTCATTCCATTTTTTGCCCACTTGTGGAAAGAAAAAAAATAATAGGACCCACATGTATTATTTTTCATTCTATTTTCTCTTCCTTTCTCTTTTCTCTCTTACCAAACAACCTACATTTTCATTTTTCCTCTCAAAATCTCTCCACATTCTTCATTCCTTCTACTTTTTTTTTCCTACCAAACATACTCTTAAAGTTGTTTCCTCTTGTAAATCATATATAAAGTTAGTTACAGATCATGAGATACTGACCGATAATGAAGAAGAATATTATTGTTATAAGAAATGCCTTGTAAAATCTCATGGAGGAGAACTTTTACAAGTTCAGAGGCATATAGATGCAGATTATGATAATTTGGATCGTTTGACGAGGAAATTCAAAGTCTTCAAATTGAATCTTGATGGACCGAGATGGATTGAGATGAAAAGTCTAGGTGATTTTGCTTTGTTTTTAGGTGATAATAGTTCCGTATCTGTCCTTGCCTCTAATATTGATGGGTGCCAAGAAAATTGCATATACTTTACACATGACAAAGGACTCTTTTTCTTATATCGGCACTCATGGACCTAGAGATATGGGCGTGCGTGTATAATCTTGAAAGTGGAAGCAGAGATAATTGCCAGAATGCAAACCCGAGCACCCATTTGTGTGTTACCGTGATAAATATTTCAAATGTTATTCATTTAATTTATATATTTTTTTCATTCATTTTAGGTTTAGTCTTTATGACTTATTATGATGTTTATAATAGATGTTATATTTACTATTCAAGTAATGGATTACTTCATTACAAAAAAAGAAAAAAAAAAATTGGTTGTTGACTATTAATTTTATCTTCAGACGCGTGTGTTTTACTTTATGTTACACATGGAATTTATCGGCCTAAATGTTCAGAGACCAGAATCTAGCTGTGTTTGGAATTAATTATGTCTTTATTTTTTATGTTTTTTGAGAAAAAAAATGAAAACGTTTTTAAAATGGCGTTAGACGCAATAAAAATGAAAAACAGAAATGAAAACGATTTTTTGATTTAATATAAAATGAGAGAGAAATGAAAAATGACTTTTAGTCGTTTTTTAATTTTTATTTTTGTTTTCTCCTCTCTCGAGCAGAGAGAGAGAGAAAGAGACATTAATAGGTTTTTTTACACTGAAAATAATCTATTGATAAAACTACTAAACGGATTTTTAAAAATAATTTCTGTCTGAGATTGAAAACGTTTGCATTTTTATTTTCACATAAAAAATAAAATCATTTTAAAACGAATTTCAAACGCGTTCTATAATTATTAGTCTCTATATATATATAGATATATTTCGCACTAAATTACGAAAATACGACAAAATATATGCAAGCAGGCGCACAAGCACGAAAAAAAAAATTGAAATGAATATAGGCAACCAATTATTCCCTTCTCCTTAGTCCTTACCCCCTTAGAAGTAATTAAACTACATGACAATATTTCATACTTGAATTGAAATTTAGCAAAAATTTTAAAATATTATAAATATAGTAAAAATGAGATAGTAATTATTATAATGATATCATATTTTATACTATATAATGATTTCATATTTTGTACTATATAATGATATAATTATTATTTTAATGACATAAAATTGATATAAAATTTTGTTATTTTTGTAATATTTCAAAATTTTTATTAAATTTAAACTTTGATATCAAAATTTTGCTACTTGTCTAAATCACCCCTTATTCTTATATGATAAGTAACACATTGAAATGCAGTGAATATGATAATGACTAGCGATAATTACCATGTAAAGTCGTGACGGTGATTACAACAATTACTAACCGAAAAAGAAAAAAAAAATCTGCCGTTTTCTTTAATTAACTTGGACCGTAAAAGCAATTAGAGAATCCAAATTCTTCACACAAAAAAAAAAAAAAAGAAAAAGAATAAGAAAAGAACAAGTGCATAAATCATGAAATTCCAACTACGCACCAAACTTATTCAAGCAGCATAGATATTATAATTTCCAAATAGAGATCTAATTAAAAGAACAAATTCTGATGTGACTCACTTTTAACTAATGGAAATCTATTACGGAAAAACATTTAGAGCCCGTTTAGTTGGATGATTCGTTCTCTGATTCGAATCATGGTTCATTATTCGCTACAATATTTTTTTTCACAAAAAACACACGTAAATCAAAAATAATTTTAATTTCATAATTCTAATCCATCAACAACCCAGTTAACACTTAACAGAATTACTCAAGTAACAAATGAAAAATTAAAATCCACCATTAGAATAGGTAACTAGCATAATATCATGTAACAATACTCATTTATTATACTCATGTCTAAGGACTAATATGTAACTTGGGGAAAAAAAAAGGAAACCATAAAAAAAGGAATGAAAAACAGTTGGTGGGGATTATAAGATAAACTAAAAATTATACACTTTCCCCTTGAGCTCTCATGTGCTGTTTTATACACAATCTTTTAAAACTAACCCTATTCGTTTCGCTAGTTTGAATTTTCAACTTGAGTGAAAAGTGAATTTTTGTGAGGAAACGTTGTAGCACAAAAAAGTTGAATTTGAATATTTGTACGAGAAAATTCTGTAGCAAAAACTTGACTTTTGATTTGAACTAACGAAACAATGAGGCACATAAAACCCATATCAGAGCAGAAAATGACGGCCAACTTGAGTCAATCTCAACCTGTACCTTCAGTGACAAATCCTTCCTTGCGACCTCCAAATCCTGGCCTCATGAGCTTCTTTTCCCTTTTCCCAATCTTCCACATCTTCTTGTCATGTTGCTTTGCTGTCATCTTTTCTAATCTCTATTCTCTTATGTTGTCTCTCTGCTTTTAGAATGCTCTCCTTCCATTTATGAGCATTCTTTTGTTGCCTTCTCTTTTCCTTCTGAATGCTTTGTTTCAACAAGTTGGGATCGAAGTGGACTTTGATCCCGGAAGCTCGGCTTGTTGCGGCACTCCACGAACGCTTCTTCGAGATAATGTTCCCTTTCTCTGGCCTCTTAAGCCCCTACTATTTAAAAAGATTCATTTGATCTTCTTCTTTCCCATGCTTATCTTCATTCCTGAGTTTGACATGACTGATATATGTCAGCTCCTTTGAAGCTCTACAATGTCTTTCACTCCACCGAATTACCAGCTTTCTCTCCTCTTTTGCGCAATCCTTTCTTCTCCATTCCCTCATTCTTCTCGTTCGCTTTATCCGAGCCTCCATTGTACTGCTAGCTTGAAATTCTTCAATTCTGTTATGGAGCTGCCGCCGGAGCTCCTCATACGTCACCATCTTTTCACTCATCACCATCTTGCTTCTCCTTTCCCAAGCTTTGCTTCAACAAATCGTGGGTTGCTGATGTTATACTTTGTTTCCTTCTTGGCCAAAGTTCTTTCGGCTTTGCTTAGACCTTGAATCCAGGGCTTATCCTTGTCGTCTGTGGGTAGATACAACTTTGCTGGGATAAGCTCGACTAACTTGTCAAACAACAACGCATGCTGAGGAATTATGGTCCATGGAGCATAGAAATTTATTCCCATCGTCAAACACCGCGCTTCAAAATAGAGATTTTTGTTCTCACTTTATTGTTTATTAATTTTAAGAGAGAAAAATTTCAAGAAAATGGCACAAAAGTAAAAAGATTAGTTAAAATGGCATACTATCTATAATTTCTCTAATTTTAAATTGTTAGCAAAATGAAGAACCATTATTGTTCAACAGGAGCTATTAATTTCTCATGGAAAGAAATGCATATTTTAATTCCTTATTTGAAGTAAATTTTATAACAGATAACATGATTCACTGATACCTCTACTTCTTTCATTAGTAATCTGGGCATTTGAAAGGCAAAATGTAAAGCCGAAAATGGGATACAATAGAATAACCATTGATTGCCAATTTCCTTTTAGGTTTTCCAAGAGAATTTACAATATTCAATTGGCTGGCAGAGCAGTATGCGCTCCTAGTAAACAAAGGATAAACGGTTCAAACTTCTATCTGATGAGCTTTGTCGGAGAGGTTGGGCATGGGTCCATCCCATAACTCTGCTAACTCCTTCCTTATCCAAGAGATGACAATAACTGGTCCCAGTGTAGAAGGCACCTAATATATTCACAAGTTAAAAATTTTCTGAAGGGCCAAACATCAGAGAGAAAAGTAGAACAAAACCAACACAAAGAAGCAACAGAAGATTACCAAATAAAGTAGAGCAGGTTGAGGGGAATGAGTCAAAACACCAGCCGCCAAAGCCGTAACCAGTCCGATGGCATAACCAGGAAGGGCATACCAAATGTACTTGTGCCCCTTTGAAGAATGCAGCTCCAAGAGAGTGACTGTATCTCTGGTCCTTCGATGATCAAACCAGAGGACCAATGCCAGAAGCATGGCAGGAATCGCCTGCAAGATAACAAGATTGAAACAAATTTACAAATCGTGCAAAGACTAGTGCAAACAAAGAAGTAATTTGTTGGACTTAACAAGGGAGAATGTGCCAGAATGATTATTTTCGCATAATAAACCACAACCTTAATAGACCATGTTTCCAGCCCACCATTTATCCAATAGTACAAATTGTTTACAGCCAAAATAAAGAACCAGTGGAAAAAAGGAAAGATAGAGAGAGCGGCTTCATATTTCCTTGTCAAGAATACTGAGCATTCCAACTTAAGACATTGTAGACCAATTTATCCAAATCAATCAATTGATGCTATTCATAAAAGCGGTGCATAAACGTGAGTCAACATTTTAGCCATTCGGAGAGATGAATGTGTTTCAACTATATAATTGTTTGAGCAGAACAACACGAGTGCAGAAGAATATTCAGCATGACTCTTCATTGTGATAGTAATCAATGCAATACACTACTACAGTTGGCATAAGTAATATAATACGGATGAGAAACGGATATCATACCATGTCACCAAGACCAAGCATCATGAAGTCTGAGGCATTTCTTCCGGGAATCACTCCACCAAACAAGTTCCTGGGAAAGACAATCTTCACAGGCAACTCCAGCTTCTTTGTTATCATTTGCAACCCAGGAAGACTCAGACTATTAGCAACAGTGTGAACAGGATTCGATGCTTGTTGTGTTGCAACTGAAACCATGACATTCGCCCCGAAAAACCTCTCGGAGAAGAATACCCAGAATATGTCATATACGAACAAACAAATAAGGAGTATTGCACAGATTTTGATGTTTGGTAGACGCACGTGGCTAACAAAGGCAATGCATATAGAGATGCCCAACAAATTGTTTAATATCCAATGCCCAGAAACAAGCCAAGAGGCAACTATACCAACACAGAAAAAGAGTAAAAGCCCTTGGATGCGAGTAAATGACTTTGAACAGCACCGCGACACATATGGGTCAGCCAAACCAAGCTGAGACTTTAAATAGGCTACATATGGAGATAGGCAGAAAAAAAGGGATGAAGCAGAAGCTATAGCTGTGAATGCAGTGAGGAGTTGTGAGACTGAAGAGAACAGATAAAACATCATAAGCAAACTAAAAGAGCTCATTACTGGAATCATGAGCGCTTGGGACCGATCTAATGTAATTGATGCTTCTGATAAGTCACGATTGTGCTCCATTTCTTTTCCATAATTGAGAGCACGAAATGCAGATCCGAAAGTCACAGCTACTGCAGTCACAATTAGTGAAATAGGAGCAGGCTCCAGCAAATACAAAAGTTTCCATAAAGGCTCCATGACTAAATAAGTAGAGCTATTTGTTTTCTTGTCTTCTTCTTCTCTCCTTTCTTTTTCTTTTCCTTTTAAAAAAAAAAATATATATATATATATATATATTATCTGACAGACGTCCTCATAATATCAGAATTAGCAGATGATTTGCCCCCAAAGTTGCATCTTTTCTCCGATCAACTGCTGCCTAGAGAAATCTGCCTAGAGAAATCGGTGCAACCTGCAGAATGATGAGCCAGAGAAATCGTCGAGAGTTTATTGAAATGATACAAGAAAAAAGTATTTGCGCCAAATCAACACAAAGAGAGGATAAGATACTTTGGAACTTTTGGTAGATAGGAAACTAGATAAAACTAAAAAAAAAAAAAATTAAAACAGATACGGAATAGAAATGCATGCAAACTAACAGGTAATCTAAGTGATAAGTAATCGAAGAGAACCCAACCTCACAATTAGACTAATTCTGAATTTGCCAAGTCTAGTTTCTGTAAAGCTACAAAAATGAAACAAACAAAAGATGAGACTTTTATCCACCACATAGGTTAGAATGCAAATATGTATACTTTACTTTACGTGTTTTAGGTAACTTGACAGTTAAAAAATGGGAATTTGATAAGTTGATAACAGCGAATTGATAAAGGTTTCTTGTTTTCCAATTTCCATATTACCATTTTAAAATATCACCTAAACTGACTCTTGGATATTTCAAAAAAGTAGTATATTGTTCCTTGGACCTCTTATTAAAAAAAAAAAAAAAACGTTCTTCTAAACAATTTCAAGTGAACCTATAGCCTGAAAGGCTGAAACCGTCTCCACAAAAGCCCAAAAACTATTCTACAAGAGAAAGCAAAAATCTTCAGCACACCCAATTTCCATATGGAGAAAAATATAAGATCATTCAATGAACCAAATGTAAGATTTTAAATTTTCTTTCCCTTTATTTTGTCTCCTCGTCCAAAGAAAAATGTAAAAAAAAGGAAAACTTAAAAAAAAAAAACTACAAACACAGAAAGTAAACAACAAGATAACTAATTTAACTCTGAATGTTACTCTCCTAATCTCCTTTTTCCTTTTCTTTCTACCAGAAACCAAAATTCGACCTCGATGAGTTTGAGGATCTCAGAATTCATGAAGACCCAAACTAATCTCCACGAAAAGAATCAAACTTTCTCATTTTCCTTCGCTTTCTTACCCAGTTTCCAAGCAACCAAACAGAACCCAAAACCCCAAAATTTCAAATTTTCCTTTTCCTTTTCTACCTATCTCGCATCAACCAATAAATCCCCGAAACAAACGTATAGAACGAGAAAACCAAACATCTAAAGACTACAAATGAACAAAAAGAAATGAAATCAACGAGTCACGTTATACATGCGCATTATAGCACAAGATCTGAAGAAGACCAAAAACTTTGAATCGGAAATTAGGGCAAACAAGAGGTAACTAAATTCAGCAAGGATTTGGGAGGACTAACCTTGGACTTGGAAGAGTTCGGAAAAACCTTTTTCTTTCTCTCTGATCAATAAGGTTCTTTTTACGGAGCAGTATAACAAAGAAAGAGCAATTTGTTAATTTACACTCTAGCCCCATAAGTATAGATATTTTACTACTTTCCCCTCATATTTGCAGTTTTAATTCATACAGGTGCTTCAAGTCATTCTTTACTGTTGTATCTGTGTTTCTCACTCTCTCTCTTATTTTTATTTTTTTGTTTTTGTTTTTGTTTTTTGTTTTTTGTTTTTTCTTCTTCTTTTTTTTTTTTTTGGTTCTTTTCAGGAAGCAATGTACACATTCACAAAGTAATGATACTCGGCATTGAAATTAGAAGCTTGGGTTGGGATCGATTTGATTAAAAATTTTGGAGCCATGGAAAATAAATGTTTTTTTTACTTGAATAAAAAATAGTGAAAAACGACATGAAAGCAATCAACAAGAACGATAAAAACGATGAGAAGTAAACACGAAAGCAACATGAAAGACAATAACAGCGGTAAGACAACAAAAACAACATCAGATTCACAAAACCACAACAACAACCTGGCAAGTGACTGGAAAATAAAAAAGACCAAAACCTCAAAAGCGACATAAAAATTTTAAACTACAGACACTTGAAAACGTCAATAACTCTAATATAACAGAAAAACTTTAAAACCACATTTATTACGGAGGTTCTCTAGTACCGTATTGATAGACTTTTTTTAACTATTAAATTTATGTATTTTTTTAATTTTTAATTCGAGTTCAAATGTGATATTTTTTAAGAGTTTTTCACTGTAATAGAAAAAGTTAGATGTGACGTTTTCTGAGAATTTTTTACTGTAAAAACCTAGAACTGAAAACTCAAATTAGTAAAATGAACGAGACTTAAGTTTTTTTAACTATTAAATCTATGTACTTTTTAATTTTTACGTGTTTTTATATAAATTTGACGGACAAAATACATGACTTATTAAGTTTTTTTAATTATTAAATCTATATTTTTAATTTTTACGTATTTTTATATACATATAATACCTGACTTACTCTCCGATCCTTATTTATTAACACAAGGAAACAATGACAATAAAAACGACAGGAAAATAATAGACGCAAAAAGCTGAAAACGATGGCAACCACAAAACTACATCAAAATTGAAAAACGAACTCATAGCGATCTTTGTGTAATTTGCCTTTACCCGATGGTTGGTTTTTCTGTTAAGTAGATTAGATTTGACTGTACTGGTTGTGCTGTGCATATCTTGCTGGTGCTGTGTGGAATGCGTAGCGACTTCAACAAACAATCTCGTAATCGTTATGTCATTTCTCTGATTTGTGTGGTTCTTTTTCAATTTCGGAACATATTTAGAGAAACCAGTATTAGTACCTGAAAGCAGTTGTGCATGTAAATACAGAACAAGTAAAACGACTACGAACTCCAACAAAAAAAATAAAAAAATGGAGAACTAAAAATTGGCGTCAATTCACAACTTCAGTTCTTCTTCTGGTGGTAGCACAGATTCTATTTGCAACCTGGAAACTTTTGTTGCACCATGAGGACTTACTGGCTGCTAATTCTGAATGCCTGTTCATAAAATAGATGGGGCACAAGCACAACACAAGACATTCTATGCACGATTACATGCAATTGAGACATCTTAATCTTGAATCTGAAAAGATGGGGTTTTGTCTTTTCAGATTTATATTGAAGAAGACTACTCGCGAAGCGTATTTAATAGTGCTTATACCGTCATCGGTTGTACTAGTGGCATCCATTTGTTGAGTTGACATCATAACTTTATGCTTGAATTCAAAAGGCTTTTTCCGCGTGCCCTCTGATTGGCTCTGATTGGCTAAAAATGGAAGTGGGGATATTTCTGTTCATTGGAATAATGTCATGAGAGAATGGCAACGTGCCAAGAGAAGAACTAATAGCATTATATGATCAAACAAGACTGATCTGCAACATTTACGTTAGCAGCATATGTAAAATGCCACTTACTTTAATGTTAAACACCACTTTTAAAGTCTAGTTATTTATCTAGTTTGATACGAGAGAGAGAGAGAGAGAGAGAGAGAGAAGAAACCAGACAATTCAGCAGACAAATGGAAAATTAGCATTGACATTTAGAAAATTAACTAGCATACTATCATGCAACAATACTCATCTATTATGCTAAAGTCTAAGGGCCAAACGAACTAAGAAATAAGGGAATGGCAAACTGTTGGGTGGGGAATGTAAGATCAACCAAAATTATACACTTTCCCTTGAGCTCTCATGTGCTGTTTAAACCAATTCTTGTGGAAATAAGCCGATAAAGCCCATATCCAAGCTGGAAACAATGGTCAACTTGAGTCAATCTCAAGCTGTACCTTCATTGACAAATCCTTCCTTGCGACCTTCAAATCCTGGCCTCACGAGCTTCTTCTCCCTTTTCGCAATCTTCCGCATCTTCTTATCATGTTTCTTTCCTGCTATATTTTCTGATCTCTTCTGTTGTCTCTCTGCTTTCAGCTTCTGTGTGGTTTGAACTCTTTCCTTCCATTTCTGAGCATTCTTTTGTTGCATTCTCTTTTCCTTCCGAATACTATGTTTCAACAACTTGGGATCATCATGAATCTTGATCCCGGCAGCTCTGCTTGTTGCAGCCTTCCACGAATGCTTCTTCGAGATAACGTCCCCTTTCTCCGGGTCTTTCCTTGCTTCCTCCAACTTCTTGGCCCTCTCAAGCTCTTGCAATTTCGAAAGCTGCCTCTTCTTCTTCTTCCCCCCATGCTCGTCTTCATTCCCGAGCATAACATGACTAAATGTGAGCTCTTTTGAAGCTTCTACAATGTCCTTCTCCACTTTATCTTCCGAATTACCAGATTTAGTCTCTTTCTCCTTTGCCTCGGTCCCCCTTTTGCGTTTCTTCTGCTCAATTCCTCTCTTCTCATTCCTCTCATTCCTCTTGCTCGCTTTATGCGAGTCTTCAGTGTTTCGAGTAGCCCGAAACTCTTCGATTCTGCGACGAAGCCTCTGCCGGAGCTCCTCATACGTCACCGACCTATTATCATCATCAAAACCAAACAAAACAGGTCTGGTCTCCATGTCATCGTCATTGCTGTCATCATCATCTTGCTTCTCCTTTTCCAAGCTTTGCTTCAACAAATCAATGGTTGTTGCGGAAGACTTGTCGGGATCCAAACGATCTCTTCGAGCTTTCTTGATGTTCTCCATTGTTTCCTTCTTGGCCAGGGCTTTTTGGGTCTTGTTTAGACCCTGAAACCATCGCTTATCGTTGTCGTCTGTGGGTAGATAGAACTTTGCCGGAACAAGCTCAACTAACTTGTCAAAGAATTGAATGCCGATGAATTATGGACTTTAAGTCAACAACAGGGGTGGAATCAACATCACTTTTCACCTTCTTCTTCTTCATCGTCTACACAAACATTTTAAAATTAATACGACACTAAAGAGTTAGTCACCAGTAACATTAAACTTTCGGACTTTTCTAAAATTATGCCACCAAATTTCAGACCAGCTCTCAGATTATATTAAAAAAAAAACGGAAAAAGAATTTAAAACCAGAAACATATCATTATATCAACCCAATTACACTGGAAATTAAGCTAACCGAAAGAAATCAAACAATGGTGAAACTGGAATCAACGTTTTCAAAAAGCAAAAGCAAAAACAAAAACAAAAAAGCCAAACAAAACAAAAAAAAGGTGACAAAGAGATTTTTCTACTAACCTACCTGAAAACTGAAGAACCCTAGATGGGAGGCGCCGTGAAATGGATGATTTGTGGCCCCAAAACAATGGCGGAAGAGGAGACAGTGAATTGCTGAGAGAGAAAGGGAGAAATAAACCCTAGAGAGGCAATATATGTATGGGTCGGGTTGGGACTTAGGGTTTTGTAACGACAGTCGACAAAACGTCTAAAAAACGACAATAACCATATGGAAAATTAAAAACGACAAAACAATAACAGAAATGGCAGAACAATTTTAGAACGACAACATAAAATATGAATATAAAACTATAAAAACCAGAATAACGGCAATGGAAATTTAAAATGAATAATTTTATTATTTAAAATGAATAATCTTATTAATTATTCATGATTTTTATTTTTATATTTCTAATTATTATTTTCCATAATTTTAATTATTCAATTTATTACTTTTTACACCTCGTCATTATAAAATATTTTTTAATATTGCAAGAATGCTACATTAATTACTTATTGAAAAATTAAATTTAAATATTATCATTTTCAGTAATAATAATTTTAAAATTAATTTTCACTTACAACATTTTTTTTCTTAGTCGTATATTAAGGCCTTGTTCATTTCACCGATTCGAATTTAGAATTCGAGTTTTATTACAATATAAAGTTCTCAGAAACAATCAGATCTAACTTTTTTGCTACAATAAAAAACTATCACATAAAATCACATCTCAACTCGAATTACAAACTCGAATCAGCGAACTAAACGGATTATAATTTATTAAAAAAAACACGAAGTTCATAATACTCATATGTATAAGTAAAAAAAATATCATATTCTGAAAATAAAAAACCTTCCTCATCAACATATATTCATACAAAAATCATATTTATAAAAAAAAAAAAAAAAAAAAAAAAAAAAAAAAAAAAAAAAACCAAAATACTTATATTGCATGATCATCCAATATTGCAATACTCAAAAAATAAAAGCACACAACCTTAAAAAGGAAAAAAAAAAAATAATCAAAGTGCACATATACTGAGTTATTAACATCTAAACACATGCTAAAGATACCGACGAACAAAATCAAACCTAACTTGTCAAAAAGTATGCATGTAAAACAAATTGAGTTTAGTTAACAAATATTCTACCCGAAATCTACAACACAAAACATACAAATCATGTCACGTTTAGCGGGAATAATTTCTACCGGGCCTTCCCTGACACTTGAGCATTGGGAAAGGGATTTCTAATCAGATTTATGGTTTTTTTTTAATGACCCAACCTTTTATGACGATTTTGGTACCAGTTCTTACTATCGACGCGTTTTGATATCGTAGAAAACAGTGACGTAGTTTAAATAGTTTTTTTTTTTATAAAATTTTTTCTTTTGAAACTCCAAGGTGTTGCAGAGAATAATGTCGTAGTTTAAATAGCTTTTTTGTAGTGAGTTTATACGGAGAGCGAAATTCCCGTATGCTCCAAATCAGAAATACTCTACTATACTTGTACTGGATGTGTATGACTTGTACCCATTTTTGGAGAAATCATACTTTTTCTTAATTATTTGGTCATAATGCAACATTCCAAAAACGTGGCAAAACCCCAATTGCTAGAAACATGCGTGAAGAACAAGAAACAAGCCAAACAAAAAAAAATATGTGAAGAGAAAAAAAAAAATCGAATAGCAGAAGCGCTGACATTTTGTTTCTCTTTCTTTTTCTTTGTTTTTTCCCCCTTTTGAAAAAAGGTTGACATGTGGTAACCATGCAAATTATTTGGAACCGCTCATCACGGATAAACACAGGGCTATACTAATTTCAAACGGATCAATAATAAACCTACCACTTGCACTACTCACGGACACGGTTAAGTGGTTGCTGACCCAAACCGATTTTTACCAAAACTTTACGTACACAAATTTTCTTGTTTTTCCCTTTTTACTTTATCTTTTCTCCTCTTCTCTTTCTAATTCTTTTTTTTTTTTTAATGGAGTTATACACATATAGACTCCGTTAATTTCAATTAGAATTTTATTATAGTAAAAATATCTTAAAAATAACACATCTAATTTTTTTATTATAATTAAAAATTCTTAAATAAAATCACAAATAAATTCGAATTAAAATTCCAGCGCACAAAAACAGTACTACACGACAAGCCTGGCATATCTTTGTCCACTTGCCAAAAACGTAGCCAAATTACCTAAATACATTCCCCTCTTTTCTCCTCTCCCTTTCAAATCACATTCTCGACTCTGAAGCTTTAATCTAGTGTCGTTTTGTCATCCTCAATCAGCGAAAAGTTGTTTCCATTTGGATGTTATATCGTGTCCTATATTTAGGTTCTCTGGATTTTCGCGGATCTGTATTTCTTCTGATGAAGTGTTTCGCCGTCAGTATACTTGTCAGGCTTAATTAGAAAGATATAATCCTCCCAGAGAAGGGAGATCTTTTTCTGTAGTACGTTAAAACGTACGGGAATGAAGCTGAACGTCGTCGTTTTGGCTGCGCTGGCTGTGCTAACGTGCGCGCCATGGCGGGTTTGTTCGGAAAAATCAGAGGAACATCGGCTTTTGGTGAACATGACTCTGGTTCGCAACGCTTCGACTGTCGGAGCCCGTAAGTTTTTTTTTTTTTTTCTTTTTAAGAAAAGAAAAATTACTTCGTTTTTTTCTTATTATTTCTAAAATATACGTAAATATATGTGTGTGTGTATATTTGGTTCGGTAGTTTGCTTGGACGGAAGCTTGCCGGCGTATCACTTGCACAGAGGATTCGGAGCCGGAGCGAAAAACTGGCTTCTACAGTTCGAGGTAAAATTTGAGACGCCAAAATTTGATTCATTTTCCATAAAACGAAAAATTGAATTAAAAAAAAAAAAACTACAGAAAAAAAAGAGAGAGAAAAAGCGCTTTACTGTTGTCCAGTCCTACAATGCCATGTCGGCGTGGGTGTGCATGGAATGAAATTTGACTGGGTGAAGAAATCGAGACAGCCAATGACCGGTTAGGACTTGGATTCGATTGGCTGTTTTCCATACGACATCGTATTTTCTCTCTCACTTTTTCCTTTTACCTTGTGTCTCGTGCGTTCTCTTCTCACCGCCTCCCTAAGCGGCCGCAGTCATTGCTCTCCATACAAATTTCTCCACGTGGCACGGCCATTTAAAATTTGCGTTCATGATTCCAGCTTGTATATAAAACACAAATAAATACAGTAATAATTACCATAAATTGGACAATAATTGTGGAGATCCAATAAGGGGCATGAAATGCGGCGTTGGTGTGAGAGATGGTCCCATAGTACAACGAAAGCTGGTTTGTCCTTTGGACCCCAAAAAGGGAAGGTCTAAAGAGCAATAATAGTTGGATTACTGTTATGTATATTTATCGTTCCTTTAATTGATTTTTTAATTTAAATTGATATGTAATTTTATATGTAAATTTTTTATTATAATATAAAAATTAAATGAGATTATTTTTAAAAAATTTTTACGATTAAAAAAATTTAAATTAGTAAAATGAATAGGAGCTTAATTGAATACGGATGTCTTTGTGAGTGGGTGGGTCTAATTCAGGGTCTAATTTTATTATATGAATGACAGTTCTTAAATTGCATTTATGAATAATTTCTAATGTTGTATTTGTATATAGGGCGGAGGGTGGTGTAATGATGTTGAATCATGCTTGGATAGAGCTGAAACGCGCAGAGGATCAACACGTTACATGACCAAATTGGAGGTCTTTTCAGGAATCCTAAGCAACAATGCTTCTCTCAATCCAGGTCTAATCCTTTACCTCCTATATATATATGTATATATATGTATGTGTATGTGTTTTGGAACTATTGTTCTACTATGCAACTGTTTGAGGTTTCAAAGATGATTTAATTAATAATGAATGAAGACTTAATTTGAGCACCATAAAAAACAAAACAAAAAAAACGAATAAGCAATAAAACCACTTTACTCAAATCTTTCAATGCTACCATGTGATGCCATTTTCTTCTTTAATCGTATGGTTTTATTATGCATATGTGGATTGTGGACCTGTGGTTCCTTCCTAGTTGTACTAATAAAAGTGGTTCCATGTCTTAAATAGCGACAAATGAGAACGTAATCTAGGAAAGGCTATACATATGACCGCCCAAATAAGAAGACTTGAGACAATAGTGTCTGGCAAGTTCAAAACTAACCCCAAAAACTAACGAGAATGGCCAAAAAGAAAGTGACGAATTCAAAGAGCACTTTTTTTTTATATTATAAAAGGGAGGCTCTTTTCAGGAACTATAATTAAAGTAGATTCATTTTCTCCACGTCACATGTTTCTTAATTCCTGCTTCATCATCCATTTACTTCTCTAGTGGTTCACTTGAAACTTGTATTAGTCGTAGCACATAGGCATCTCAATTTCATGTATTTAAAATTATTCTCATTTTATATATATTTTTTATAAAAAACAAAATATTTTCGAATCATAACACAAATTTTTCTTTCAAACGTAAATTTTGAGAGATCATTGTTCTCTACCAGAGTCGAATAGCACTAGTGTATGATCTATATGGTTTTTTATACAAATCAGGGACCTGGGGACAGGCTTCATGGCCTTCGTCATGTTCTCTCTTTTCACGTGATTATTAGCTGACAATAAGAAGCCTTTAAATCTTGTCAGTTTTTTTTGTTTTTTACTCGAGACTATTTAAAACCATTTACAAATGTAATTATTGTCTGTCGTACAGTTGTAGAACTGTTGGGAGGGTCCTATGCATTACCACCTCTTTCTTTCCCTGCGAATAACAATATACAACATTATAAACGGATTCTTATTGAGTATAACTAGCTCGTTTAGGAAAATAATAATTGTTGCCCCTCATACTATGTTACTGTACATTTCACTTTTTTTTTTAATTTTTAATTTTTATTTTTATAAATGTTCCATTTAGTTTAATCTCCATTGTTAGATGCTGAAAATAACGATTTGAGTGGTTAAATTTTTTTCCAGCTTTTAGCTGACAATCTTCTTTTTAACGTTCGAGATCGTCTCTTTCTATTATCTAGTAGTTCTGATTTGGGCTGTGTAGTACGACTGTAGTTTTGAAAATGTAGAAAGGTTGCTGTTAAATTTTAGTGGTTTTGGTTAATAGAATTCAACATCATTCCATTTTTTTTTATCACCAGAATTCCGCTTTGATGGATTGCAGTATAGTTTACAGTACTAAGAATTTCTTCTCGTGGTTGAATGCAACCTAAATTTTCTTATTTACCTCTTCTCTTTGCTGAAAGCATGACACATACCAAGTTACTTAAAGTTTTAACCAGTTCAAGTCAGTTAAATAAGAAAAATATTTAGAGATACTATCAGTGTTAAATACCATCACTAATAAAAAGTGGATTACACCTATGAGTCTCATATTACGGAACTCATCTTTTATTAGTGAGTGGTGCTAAACACTACCGGTACCTTATAACATTGCTTTAAACAACATCCAAGTGAGGCTTATTTTTTGTGCACCTTAATGAATGTTCTATTTTCTTTGTTTTTTTTTTTAATCCTTCTGTTGGCCTTATATAAAATTAGCAGATATTGATATTCTGATTTGTTGAGCAGATTTTTACAATTGGAACCGCGTGAAGCTTAGATATTGTGATGGAGCCTCTTTTGCTGGAGATGCAATATTTGACAATGGGGTAAAAACTTTTTTCTTTTTACCATGTATTTGTGCACGGCATCTAGTCTACGAAAACGGTACTTTCTTCACAAGTTCACCGAAAATTGGCTAGTTCTGGCTGTATCTAGTATTTCCCTTTCATGTGATTCTATGGCTTTCACATAACCATGGACATGGTACTAATAATCAAAACCCTCCTAAAAAAAAAGGCTGTAATCCCACTATACAATGACGGAGACAGAGGGGGCAAGGATGGGCCATGCACCCCCTAGTCGTTTTTTTATTTTTTATTTTTTAATATAGTGATTTTAATTTTAATATAATAAATTAATAATTTGGGCCAACCATATATTATATATATAATTAAAACTGTTACTTATATATACATGTTAATATAATCTTGATTAAAAAAAAAAAATTTGGCCCCTACCAATAAGAATATTGCTGTCATTCCCACTAGATGGTCAAAACAGATGGGATTTTCCTGTGTTCTGATTTTTCTTATGATTCGGTGCTCTTAAGAAAACATCAATTTGTTATGTACATTTTGTATTCTTCAGCAG